AGTTCAGAGCACATTTTATGACCAATTCATTTAAAACTCCATGTAATCCCAAGGGTTCACATACTTTTTCTTGCAACTGTACATACTCCTTGGACACCCGGAGGAAAGGCAGCATATAAATTAAACAAATGAACAAATACATGTCTTTACAAATTTCATATTTGCTTACTTTAACCAACTATCTTCCTATTATAAGGTGCATCCATCTTGATCCTTCAGCTGTCAGATCTGAGTCTTTTTAATTTTAATGTGATATTTTTGTAAACCACAAAAATATTGGACCTATGTTATTAGTTAGGCTTATTTAACATATATATGATTTCTTTGTGGTACATAGAATCACTTGTTTTGTGAAATGGGTGGCTATATAAATTTGAAAAATAAATAAATAAAAATTAAAGGATAATGACTTCGCCTGCAGAAATGTAATAAATAGTTTTCTTTCCTAATCAAATTCTTTCTTATTTGGCGACCTCTTTCTTCAATATGTATTAATTATTTGTAAGTAGTAAGAAACACCTTTTTTTTAATTAAATTGAAAATGGGTGAAAAATGCATCTCCCTTTTTGTTAGGATATTTTTTCTAGTTATTGTATGTTGACCATTCTATACTAGAATACAGAAAAATTTTATGCTCATAATATCCACTAAATATTCTAATATGTATTTTTTTTTTCAGTAAGTGTTAACCTGTATTCCTTAATAGCTGTTTTCCACCAGTTGTTATTATGCATACTAGTTCCATTAATGGTAAATACTTTGACTGGATTCTAATTTCTCGAAGAAGCTGTTTCAGAGCTGGTGTTCGCTACTACGTGAGGGGTAAGATTTCTTTGTAATTGTTACATAGATATAAGCAAAAATTATACTTTGTGAGTTATTCTCTTAAATTGCTAGTCTTCTGGCAGTACTAAGAGAGATTTTGCTAGAGAATTCTTATAACACTTTTAATATTTGTCTGTGTTGATTTATATTTTATTGGTTAAGGGTAAGTGACAAACTGTTATAGATTGCTTTTAAGAATGTGCACACACACACGCAGGCACACCTGCACAAAAACATTTATTGCAGGCTTAATTTAAAATGTGTTTAAAATAGAGTGAAGATTAGATTTGATATGAAAAACTACAATTTCAGATTTCTTCTTAACCAGGAAGCCTAACATTATTGCTGAGCTCTTTGAAGGATGGGTGGCAATCAAAATATATTAATGAACATTTTCCTTTATATAAATGGATCTGAGGGAAGGATAAGAAGAAATTGCAGAAGAGACATTCAAGTATATTTAGTGACCTTTATTTTTCTTTGAACAAACCCCTTCTGTAGGCCTGCCACAGTTATCTCATTTGTTTTCTCAGTTTATTTCAAAGTGGCATGCCTAGAAGTCAGTTTTATAGTTCTCTGGATTTTTATTATCATTTTACAGGTATAATTGGTAGAGAAGTATTTCCCTTTGTGACTACTTAAACCATAAGTTACTTAAAAACATAGTTATGAAACAACAGCTAGATCCCTTAACAGAAATAGGTTAGCATTACCATTTTAAAGAGTCCTAAGATACACTTTGGTTTTGTTGGATAGGTATTACTATATGAAAGCTGTCACAAAAATGGCTTTCAACTAGATTTGAAGATTTGAAGATAAGGCTTGTTCTATATTTTAAATGCTTCCTGTTTCATAGGTATTGATTCTGAAGGACATGCAGCTAACTTTGTGGAAACGGAACAAATTGTACATTATAATGGAAACAAAGCTTCTTTTGTCCAGGTAATTTTTATTATGCTGGGATCAGAAGTGGTATTCAGCAGGTTCTGACCAGTTCTGGAGACCCGGTAGTGGAAATTTTGAGGATTGGAGAACCAGTAAATACCACCTCTGACTGGCCTTGTCTCCATCTATTCTCTGCCTCCCGAGTCCCAGCTGATCCGGGTGTGGGATAGGAATTTTGCAGTTTCCTTCCCATGGAGTAGGGAGAGAATGGAGATTTTACACTATCCTTCCTCTGCCACGCCCACCAAGCCAGCCCACAGAACTGGTAGTAAAAAAATTTGAATCCCACCACTGGCATCCCAGCTTGTCTAGTCTGTCTAATTTAATTCTTGCCCTATACATCTTAATACAGGTGTCTGCATTTTATCTTACAATAAATTGACGGGAGGTTTTGCTAATTTTGTTGTATGTTTCACTTCTTATTATCTTTGTTTTCTAGACACGAGGATCAATTCCCTTTTTCTGGTCACAGAGACCGAATCTCAAATATAAGCCAAAGCCACAGATCAGCAAAACAGTAAACCATGTGTGTATTTTTTATATCTTTTCCTGTCATTTTGCAGCAGAGGTGTAATATATATCATCCTTATACCTATGCAAACTGCCTTAAGTTGGTTGCTTAAATAATACATAACTTCAGGCTGCAGTTCCCAACCTTTATATGGTTCACTATGTCAACATGAGAAACCTATGAAAAATATCCTGCAAACCAAGAGTTTGTAGTGTCAGACCTGTAACAGCATAGCATACTTGTCTTTCTTAAAGATGATGTTGCAGATCTCCAAAATTAAATAAAATTAATTTCTTAAAAGATGTTGAAATTTCATGAGATTGTTGGTTGTTATTACGTATGTGTATGTGTACATGCCCATGTATGGTTTTTTTCTTGATATTAAAATACAATTTTTAAATTACTACATTTTGCAAAGTAATATTTATACCAGGAAAAATATATTCTGTATTAAACTAGCTATAAAAGGCCACTGATTATACTTTGTTCTTTTATATTAAATTTTATATTTCAATATTAGTTTACTAATATTGTGGTCTTTAGCTCCCTCTTGTATCTAAAAAAATATTCTATCCAGACTTCTGCAAACTTCAGCATCAAATTTATCTTTTGCTTTCTCTTAATGTTAATGCTCAGGGATGCAGTGGCTCAGTGGCTAAGATGCTGAGCTTGTCGATCAGAAGGTCGGCAGTTCGAATCCCTAGTGCTGAGTAATGGAGTGAGCTCCCGTTACTTGTTCCAGCTCCTGCCAACCTAGCAGTTCGAAAGCATGTAAAAATGCAAGTAGAAAAATAGAAACCCCTTTTGGTGGGAAGGTAACAGCATTCCGTGCTCCTTCGGCATTTAGTCATGCCAGCCACATGACCACAGAGACGTCTTCTGGCTCTTCAGCTGTGAAACGGAGATAAGCACTGCCCTCTAGAGTTGGGGACATGTGCAAGGGGAACTTTTACCTTAAAGATGTACAGCAATATCGTATGAAAATTATTGATGAATTAACATCTTCATTTACCATTTACAAAACGAGACTTTGCCCCTCTGACCTTGAAATGAGGGATTCAATAATGCTAAACATTTTTAACATGCCATCTTTTTCTGTCTCTTCAAAGCGCTGTTCATTTTGTGAGGCCCCAAAATAGCCCTTCAGTTACTTCTAAAGCTATTTACATTGGGTGGCTGAAGTTTCATTTGTGAAACTATTGATATTACATGTTTTTGGCTGTAAATATCTTCTGCTTCCAGAGTTCATCTTGTAAGAACTCTGAAGGGTTTTTCCCCAGTCTTTTCCAATGGGATATCTTCCAGTTATGTTCTACATGCAGCACTTACAAGCCGCAAGTTCCATAAGTTATAATCTTAAAACACCCAGCATGGTAATTTTAAAACAACAAACTACCCCTGAATCTTGCTCTCTTCATTAAAAGTTTTACATTGATATTAGAAATAGGGATTTTTCTCATTGCCCCTCATCCCCATCTCATCACCAAGACTCATGACAGATAAATCTGTCACATCAGACACAAATTTATACAGTAATTAAAAGAACAAAAGTTCAGTTAAAGATTTATTTCATAATTTAACTGCCATTAATATATTTTGTCTACTGAGGAATGCTACCATCTCTTACACTTGTGAAAAAGATGTACAATTTAATTCAAATGCAATTCAAAATGTATATTGTGTTCATTGTAATCTTTGTTATTTTTATGTATCAGTTTGTATTTCTGTTCAAAAGAATTCTATAACAGGTGTTCAATATATGTATTGTACTCTCTTTTAGATGGATGGCTTCCAAAGGCACTTTGATTCACAGATTATTAGCTATGGAAAACAAATGATTGTTAATCTGGTAGGATTTTAATTTAATTCTGCATCCAAGAATTCATGTTATTATTGATGCTATATGTAACTGCTGTATGTAACTACTTTGTGTTTCCTTTACAGGTTAACCAGAAAGGCTCAGAAAAGCCTCTGGAACAAACTTTTTCAAAAATGGTAACTGGTTTAGGAAATGGAATGATCAAGTATGTATTCGCTTTCAATATATTTGATGATTTAGAGCATTTAGTAAAGTATCTATATAGTCCGAGACTTTCTGTGGATGAGAATACTGACATATTTTAGAGCGGCACAGATTTATTTTAAACTTTATTTAATTTTGCAAACAACATAAGGGGTGATGGTACAATTTGCTTCTGAGAGCAAAGATTTTCCTTCATACTGTGACAGATAAGTAAAATGTTTTTTTCTTAACATAATGCCAATGTGTATGAATCATACAAGTGGCAAGAAAATAGGGGCAGTCAGGCATAACACAGGTTATGTAGGCAGTGAACAGGGTCAATCAAAATCGACTCAAATGTCTATACACTAATGCACAGAGTACGAGGAATAAACAGGGTGAATTAGAAATTCAAGTAAATGAGGGCAGATAAGATATTGTTGCCATTACAGAAATTTGGTGAGATGAAACCCACAAATGGAACATACAGCTAGAAGGATTTAAATTATTTAAAAGAAATAGACCAAATAAAAGAGGAGGTGGAGTTGCACTATATATAAGAAATAATTACCTCTCTACAGAAATAGTGCACAACAATGATGAGATCTATCTTGAATGCATTGGGGTAAATATTAAAGGGGGGGGGGGGGTTGACATTGCCATAGGTCTATACTACAGGCCACCCAATCA